CTCCAGATGGGGCCTCACTAGGGCAGAGTAGAGGGGAAGGAGAACTTCCATCGACCTGCTGACCACACTCCTCTTGATGCATCCCAGGATGCCATTTGCCTTCTTGGCAACCAGGGCACACTGCTGGCTCATGGTCAACCTGTCATCCACCAGGACACCCAGGTCCCTCTCCACAGAGCTGCTCTCCAGCAGGTCCGCCCCAAGCCTGTACTGGTGCATGGTATTGTTCTTCCCTAGGTGCAGGACCAGGCACTTGCCCTTGTTGAGCTTCATCAGGTTCCTCTCTGCCCAACTCTCCAGCCTGTCCAGGTCTCGGCTGAATGGCAGCACAGCCTGCTAGTGTATCCACCACTCCTCCCAATTTTGTGTCATCAGCAAGGTCCTCACTTGTTTGTCAGGTTCAACCCAGGACAGCTGAAGACACAGCTGGAAAAGCAAGCAGATAGTACCAGTCTGCAGAGAATGAAAATGAGAGAGTTGAGCTGTAGCCAAACCAGTGAAAGCTGGTGGTGGCTATTTAAATGTTTCTATTTGTAAAAAAAGATATTTATAATCACAAAATTTTTACCTTTTCTCCCCCCTCTCTTCGATCTGCCGTGCTCTCTTCTTGCAGGGGAGCAATTCTTTGCCATAGTCTTTCATCAGCAAGTTTTAGCTTTATATCAAACACTGATAAAAAGAGAATGGATTTTTCTTCTAAAAAGCGTTTTATTCACTCTTCTTTAATCATTTTTGGGGAAAACAGTCGAAGCTACAAAGTTGGCAGAGTTGCATGCCCAAGCCGTAGAATTCCCTTTCTCCATACTGGTGACAACCAGATCTGATCCAGCAAAATTATGAGAGTTAGAAACAAGCTTCCCTCACCCCACTGGTCACCCGCTGTGGTCAATTATAGTTTTGAAGCTGGCATAGAAGTATCAGATGTTTGGCTATTGCATGCCTGTACTAATCTCCAACCAAACTAAAACCCTTTGGCGTGACGCATCCTATAATTTGCTAAGTTTTTGAACAATGGCGCATTTTGCATTTCATTTGCACTTTTCATCCAAGAACCTAAGAATATGCTTCCTTCACTAAAGAACAGAGTAATTAATCATCAGGGCTATTTGTAAGGAAAAGGCCCGGCTGTGGAGTCATAGACAAAGTAGAGAAGAAAATGTCTGTATCCCACTGCTTTAATCACTCAGAGAAATATCTCCTGTACATACTATGATTTTAAACCTTTTGAATTTTATTTGTCAAGGTATCTTAAAACAGTATTTTTTTTCCACTCTTCCGGTGTGTTTTCACTGAAAAAGATTTTCTTGTTGACTGTTCATTTTTTTTAAAGATGCCATAAAGCTGTTTGTGTTCTTTTTTTTATAAATATCTTTGTGTATTAGATCAGTTACACATCTGTTTTCTGCAGGGAAGACTCTTCCAATTTTGCTTTAATTTCTATCCATTAAAATTATAAAGAATAATCTAAATAAATGAGAAGGATTTCCAAGACAGAATACTTATTAAAATATGCAGGCAAGCCTGCATTTTGAATCCAGGTGCCATACTTCTGGAGCTCTGTACATCCCCAGAATATAAATGCTCATCAGTACGCCAAGTGTTCCTGCGAGTCAGCCACTGAGCCATGGCAGGACAATTTGGAGAGCTTGTTTGATAAGCCGTTGTCGCTCTTTATCCCTTACCCCTCTGCTTTTAATTCTTTCCTCCCTGTTGCCGTGTCAGATGTCCTGTTCTTTCTCTCCAGGGTGCTTCCTCGCGAGTCGTGTTCCTCACTTGGGAGCTTGCACGCGTGCGTGCAGTTTTACTGTGGTTGTTACAGCCCCGGGGCCGGAGCCGGGGCTGGGATTATGGCTGCTCCTCTATCTCCAGCGTTCCAACGGGCTATTAGGGAATGTGTTCTGGTGTTGCTGTTGCATGCAGAGGGTGATCCTGGTTTAGGTTGCTGTCTTACGGGGACAGTGGACAAGACCTTTGGTCCCAGTATTCCCAATGTATAACCCCGCTTTTCCTTTGGAATGCGTCCAACTCACGGAACCTGCGTCGCCTCCCTCCTCCCAAGGTGGGAAGTTTTTAGGTCCATGCTGCAAATACAACTTTTAGACTAAACTGTTGGTGGGGAGGAGGTGAATGTGAGGAGGGGATCCAGAGCAGTTTGATGGAGCTAGCAAGGTGGCTGAGAAACATTCCCTCTCAGGCGTGTTACCTGGACGTGCGGTGCTCCAGAGCAGTGACGTCTGTGGGGCTGTTTCATAACTGAAGTTAACAGGAGGTATGGTGGATGTTCTGCCCAGGACCTCCAATGTTATACCTATTGGCAGAATTATTGACTGGTAGAGTTAGATGCCATATATTTACTGAGCTGGGAAACCAAGTAAGTTCTTCCCCCTGAAGAAAAACACTCAATGTGTACTTCTTCCTTAATGTATTGTGTAAAGTCTGCTTGGTCCATAAGGGCAAGAACCTCTCCCCTGTGCTTAAAAGGAAGGAATAGTAAAAGCTAATGGAAAAAATACATTTCCTACTCTGGCTTCTTCTCAAATGTAATTGATGCATATCACACGATCTGAGACAAGAAGAAATTTGATCACCATAAAGAGGAACAATTCCCCTGCCTCCAGTGGGTCTTCACCTGTGTGTGTCCCAGCAGGATTGGGAAGGTGATGCTGTGCAGAGTGTGGCCATAGCTGGGTGTTTATAGACCACAGGAAGGGAGGAGAGCTTGCTCTCCAAGCTGAACTTCCATGCATCTGTTACCCAAGGATGGTAATGCAGCGTTTGCCCTTGTAAATAAGTTACAGTTTTTTAGCATGACAGTGATTTTGATTAATAAATGTGTGCTCTCTATCTACTCCTGAGGGTTTAGATGTCATGACAGAAAGTGACTTTTTTACTTGGAATGAATGTGTACATAGATTATTTCATGTCAGTAGCTGTACTCATGCGCTGCCCACAAAAATTCACAGCTGTAAGGGCTTCTGCATAATGGGCTTTTGGAGCCCAAACAGTTCAATTGCCAGGAGTTGCACTTACAAAAGAAATTCAATAAGCCCATCAATGACACTGCGAGCAGCTTGAGCTGCCCATTATTTTGGCAATTGTCAGTGGAATTGCTCTTACAGGAAAATCCTGTAAATATATCATCTGTCTCGTGTATCATTTTAAAGCCAATCTGTAAGAATTCTTTTGCTCAGATAGCAATTTCTAATAAGTTTGTGTGGGTTTGGAGTAGTTTCTGGGAGGCTTCTTTGGAACCCTCTTGACCTCCTATTTGGGCAATTCTCTAGTATTTTCTGTAAGAATTATACCTAAGTGTCATCGTAAGTGACTTGAGGATATTCAGAAGTGTTAATGAGGGCCAGTTCTGAGGGCATGAGTCATCTGTGACATTGAGTTGTAGTTATTGATTGTCTTTGTGCTCTGCATGCAGAGTCTTGGAATGTCCCCAAAACGGTGTGGTGGTGGCAACAGGGTCATCCGTACTGGCTGAAATGACATTGGACTTCTTTCTTTTTATCCACTGTAGGTGTTCTCTGCCTGCCGGACAGCTTGAACCTGCACAAAGACCAGCAGAGGTCAAACAAGCCCGGGGAAGTGCAGATGTTCAGCCAGTCAGAGCTGAGGACCATCGAGCAGTCTTTACTTGCTACGCGTGTGGGGAGCATTGCTGAACTCAGTAAGTACAAGGCTATCGATAATGTTTGGGTTTCTTTCCTCAAAGTAAAGTAAAGCAAAGCCAATTGCATTGCCTGGTTGTGCAGAGGAGAGAGGAGGGGGCATGTGTAAAGTTGAAGGAGACGTTGGGGCAGATCTAGCCATGTTTAAGCTCCACGGCCAGTTTGGAAGCTGAAGCCATAGGGGGAGAGAAGTCTTGTGCAGTCTTATAGCAGTGCCTGTGACTTGTTTGCATACAGGGCTCTCGTTTTTAAAGGTGAAACATGCTTTATTTCATGTTCCCTATTGTGTTTGAGAGCACCGCACAGCTTGGCCAGACTTGCAAATGTCTGTCATTGGTGTCCTGTCTCATTTCACTGGGATGCCTGTTTTGAGATGGGAAAGTAAAAAGCTGAAGGCTGCAATAAGTGAAGGAAATATTGTCACAAATTTCAAGCAGAGCTAGCTCCCCCTGTGTTAGAGAGGGTCCTTCAGCATGGCTTTCCTTCCTTCTCCAGTTCCAGCAGAGGAAAGAACCACAGCTCAAAACTGCACCAAAGGAATGAATACCTGGAACAGAAATTATTTGCTATTAATCCAATCACTTCTTGAGAAATATGAGAATCTGTGGTATCTGTCAAAATCTGAAGGCTTTTGGTTTCAGCAGAGATAAATTGTAGGAGGCAAATGCCGTGTGAATCTTCATATGACATGGAGATATAGCTACCAAAGTGCCTTTTTAAATTTTGTTGTTAAGAGAGAAGCCTTCCAATCACATGTTTATGGTATAGTTAAGAGATATGAAGTTATGGGTGGCAAACCAGAAACCTTCGGACAAAAAAGGGTTTTTTTTGGTGAGGTCTGTCCGAAACACTGTGAATTATTTTATTTCCTGAGGTATGTTGCCAGACTGTGTGGAGAAATTGAGCAGACTCAAATCGATGAAGATACACGCAGCCCGGCTTACTGTTGTTCTTATTACTGAATTCTGGGTTGTAAAGAACATGTATAGGGGTCTCGTTCATTTTCCTGGCTTTCTCTGTAGCAGTGAGAGTCTCCTCTTGGAGCTCCATCATATCATCAGGGCTCGGTTGCCATGCTGTTTGCGAGCCATGGGGATGCACCGTTGAGATTTGTCTGCAAGCCACAATATGAATTTCTGTTTTCAGCTTGCTAATTTTTCTCTGCTCTGGTGAAACATCAACAAGCCAAGAGCACTTACATGCCTTAGCTTGAAGTGTTGCTTCTGCTCTGGAATCAGGTGTTTGGTGTTATTCAAATTCAATAATTTATGCTTATTTATTTCACGTGTATGAAACACACAACAGTGCGGTCTGTATGCCAACTAAATTATGCATGCACTTTCTTAAAGTACGTGCAGTTGTGTTTTAATAATAATAATCTGTGGATATTTCGGGTTTTTCTTCCATTCTGGATTTTTTTCAACCTCTATGCACAATCCAGAAAGCCAGGCTCCTTACTCCTCCCCTCCCCCCCTTTTTTTTCATTTCATTTCCGGAAATGTATCATCTCTAAGTAGTCCTACCTCAGGTTCAAATGCTGGGTTGATAGGGTTTGCTCTCGCTATCTCTGTTGACTGCAAACACGGGGAAAACACTCTTCAGGGTGGCCGACTGGAAGAAAAGAGCGCATCAGTGGGAGTCAGATGCAGCTGTCAGAGGGAGGTTGGCACCTCCAGCACGCTGGCAGCCCTCCAGAAAGCCCTCCGGACAGCCATCGGGGTGCCTCCCCGGCCGCTGCAAGCGGATGCATGTCGGGGAAGAAGCGGTGGGAGGAGTGGTAACTGGCAAAGCTTGCAAGGCTTGGTGCGCAGTTGGGTAGGAGTCTTTGCCGCGGAGCAGCGCCGGTGCAGGGTTCCAAAAGGCGTTGTGAAACACGGAGCGAGGCGCAGCACGGTGGTGGGCAAAAACCTGTGAATTCTGGGGGGGAAATAATTAAATGGAAGGAAAATGGAGGGCTGGGGGGGATGGGAGGGGGCTTGTTCTTTGTTCAGTGCTTGTGTGTCTGTCTCTGGCATGAGCAGAGGCTGCGACCCGGTGGTTACAGTGAAGCCTATGCCGTGGAGGGAGGCTGGGGAACCGCAGCACGGGGGAAGAAACGCTGAGCAGCGGGGAGAAGCCAGGGGGGAACACCTGGGGATCGGGGTGCGTTGGCGGGGAGGCAGTAGGCAAAGGAGGATTTATCGTTGCCCTGGTGGTGTGTGGGGGATGGAGAGCTCTAGAAAAGTGGTGTTGCAGAGAGGAAAGAGGATACAGCAAGCTCTGATGTGGAGAAAGTGGGCTATGAGGGCAGGATTAGGTACGTAAAAGCCCCTGCTCTTGTGGGGATGAATAAAGGTGGTGAGGGAGACTCTCTGGATAGGAGGGAATTAAGAGGTTTTAGCACTCGTGAAGAAGAGGGGCAGATGGTAACCCCGAGTGAGTGGCGAGGACAGAAGCTTGGCTTGCTGGACCTGCAGAGCTTGCAGTCCCTGGGCGTGTGTCCGCAGGGTCCCAGTGGCTTGCAGTATCCCAGGAGCCAGGACTTCATTTCTGTGCTGTTCAAAAGAGTACAGAAAACAAGGGCAAAGAGTGATCTTGCAATAAAGCAATTTAATTTTATCTCAGGAAAAAAAAAGAAAGAAAAAAAAAGCAATTTTAATTGAATGAGATTTCCTATAGTTTATCAACATGAATAATTAAAGTAATGCAAGTACGCAGAATTACTAGAATTAACAATCGCCCGCATGTGGAGGAAAGGTTTCCTCTGCTCTCAGTTCTGCCCAGAATTCTGGCATGCAGCGACGTGGCCAGCTGCTGAGTGCTGGAGGCTTTGAGACTGGCTAATCAAATCTGTCCTCTGGAAGACAGCAGCTGGCAAACGGGGCCCGTTTACCGCCCAGCGCTTCCATTTCAGCTCAAATCTTAGTTTATTCACAGTCTGTCCCAGGTGGAAAAGAGATTCACAAGGTGAAAAGTCTTGCGTCTTGTGGTACCTTCACCCTTCCCTACATGCGATGCCCTCACTCATCTCCTCCCTTCGTTTGTTTGTGTATGCTGGCAGCTTATCAGAAAAGACCGTATGGGTGAGCTGTGTCTCCCTGGGGTGTGACAGAGGTGATCAGAATTTGGGGAAAGGTGGGATGGTGACCACAACCGTCAAGGAAGGGTCACACCATCTGGGTACGCTGCAGGGAAGGTCAACCCAAGCTGCCGTTGAGGGGTCCCCGTGGCCAGGCAGGTGCAACCAGACCCATGGATGCCGTTCCTGTTTCCCCATAAACCCTGCTTGCCTGAGCCTGGTGGTGCTTCTGCTCTCATCTCCTAGGCTTAGCGGGCGGTGGGCGCTGGTTGTCGCTGGGATGGGGTGGGACAGGACGGGCCTGCCCTGCCTGCTGGCGGCGGCGGGGCGAGGTACTGTCTGTGGCCCTGCAGCGCTTTCCCAAAAATGGGAAGAAGCGGCGATGGTGCTGACTTAGGGGAAAAATCAAAGGAAGGTTTTGTCTCCAGGACTTAGGAGGGGAATGTAAATAGAGACCTAATTCTGCAATGCAATTACGGTGGCAATGCGTGATTCCGAGGAAAAGGCTTGAAAAATTAATGTGAAACCGTATTCATTAAAATATAATGAAAATGGCACAAAATTAAGGAACAACAATAAATTTGGCCTATGTTATATTGGCATTTAGTATTCAGGAATTGTAATTGCCTTCTACAGTGTGTTTTAAAATAATGTAATTTCATTTGAAATGCTGATTATATAGAGAACATTGGGAAGAACTGAAGCACAGCAAAAATAATAGGATTTTAAACAGTAGCCTGACAGTATTTCACTTTTTCATCTTAGAGAAAATATTTCACAAGACTTTTTTTGGTTGGGTTTTTTTTGGTTTTGTTTCAGTTTTTCCTAAAGTTTCCTGTGTTTCCAGACCAGACATGGAGGAGAAGGGGAATAGATCTGTTTATTTTTTTTCATAGAGTTTTGGGAATTGTTCTAGATTTCTATCTCTTCTCTTTTATTTCCTCCCCCTTCAGACAGGGAAAAATAAGTAGACTGAATAGAAAAAGTGGGGAATATTAGGGAGAGCTTTGGCTGTTGAGAGATCCCACGATACTGCATTTTGACCTTTCAGTATTTTTGGTAACTTCTTTATGTGCATGTTTGCAGTCCAAAGACTTTTACATTGTATTTAACTGCAAACACTCCAACGCACCTATTCATCATCCGTGTAAAAATACTGCTGCTGACTTGGAGCTCAGAAGTGGAAGGGATGAGGCTCACAACTGGGGGTCTCTGGTGTTTTGTTGGATGAAGGAAGGAGGACCTTCTTCCTCTTGCATCTGCACGTAGGTGGTGACAAGGAAGAGCAGAACCTTAGGTGCAGTAGGCACCAACCCTGGCACTAAGAAATATTCCTCCCTTGCTGCCTTCAGGTGAAGACCGTAAGGTGTTAGTGTACAGCTGAGCAGGGAAAACCACCCGCTGCTGAGGTGCATGTGAAGAGCTGCAGAAGGTCTGTGTCTCTCGAGCTGCACAGAGAAATAAACTTGGGGCTTATGATGTCATCCAAACTGTGTCTTCATGTATGTCCTCGCATTAGAGCAAAAAACTGTTTGGGCCTTGCCTTGACTCCAGAAATGGCCAGTCTGCTGTGACTTTCCTAGGTGAGAAGGTGGCCACCCAGTGTTGTGCAAACCACGGCGACTGGTGGTGGTATTACTCTGAGTGTTAACCACAACAAATAGGCATTTTTATTTCAAACTAGGATAATCTGAAGATGTGGTTGTGATTTAGCACTGCTGAGCCTAGAGCTTTTGAACGTTCGAATGGTGTTTAACTTAGAGCAGCTCCCAGATTTGATGTTCAGGCTGGTATTTCCTCCACGTCACCACTCGGGTCTCAGCAAGGTTTTCCTTTTTGCCGTCGGAAAAACACCACCCTTCCCATCATCCTCTCTTTGCCTCTGCAGTGCTGGGTGTATGTATTTCCAAAATAACAGCCTCCCAGTAGATCTTGGCACAT